AAATAATATGTCATAAAATAATGTTTTCTTGCTAATAACTTTTGCAAGCCATAAAACAAAAGCAAGGGATATTAACTTTTGAAATATCAATGAGTTAAATGGTGTCTCAAGCATGACTCCTGCTGTCTCAACCAGTACAGTAGCAGGGATGGTTGAGACATTTAGGTACCTGTAAAACTTTTGAAACTGTCGTCTAGAATGACTCACAATGTTGCATGAGGATATAAAATCTTATTCAGTAGACCCAGCTCTAACTGAAATGCTAAAAAAGTGTTTAATGATGAAGGGCATTACATTTTGTTTACGTTTGGACGGAAAGTGTCTCAAGCATCCCCACTCTCCCCTATGATGAATAATGTCATTTTATATAGCGCCATGGCAAGCAATTGAGGCGCATTACCATTATTACAACAAACACACGATGCATAAATGCACGTGAATCAACGCATCACACACTAGGCGGGAATCTTTTTGCATTCGATACCGGACACTGCATCAACAATGCCAGGCACCTTAGCCATTACACCATCGTGTCGCTCAAGAAGAGCAATAATGCAATGAATAGTAGTAAAAAAAATTAGAAATAGAATCATCACCCGGGGTTAATGGATTAGGCAAACCATTAACTACATTCATAACATCAAATAGTGTACAATCAAACATAAAAAAACAGAATAAAACATGCTTAGACTACAAAAGCGATTAATTTAATGAAATAGAGGACTTTTTATTAATACCCATCATAGGCGCCAACTTAGGGGGGCAAAGCACTCAAATTTAAAATTGTCATCACGTTGTTTCGTACGCTTTTATTTGTTAACCGGTAAAAGTAAGTGTTTTTAATAAAATTTAATTAAAAAGCTTTATATAAATATAAACTGCATTAAATTAAGTTGAATGAATTTGATTGAATTTATTTCCTAAATTTTATTTTATTAGAACAAGTTTGAAAAAATAAAAATGGATAAGTTTTTGATAAAACTGCCAGCCAAAACATCCGGGACTGGAACGGTTTCAGAAGACTCAATTATCCAAGAAAACACCACAGTAGCGGATACAGATTTAATAGTAAAAGGCACATCCACTACTGTTACCTGGTAGATTTACGACTACAATTACAAAACGTCGTTTTGTTCCAACTTGGACCAATAACTTTCCCTGGATTCTGTATGATTCAGAAAAAGATGTTGTTCTTTGTTCCACGTGTCGAGAAATATTTTTCACAATGGGTCTGCCGTTTTCTTCTAAAAAAGAAACCGCTTTCATTGAAACGGGTTTTAATAATTGGAAGAAGGGGTTGGAAAAATTTAAATTGCACGAAAGATCACAATGCCACAAAGAAGCCGTATTTAAATCTCATACCATGAAGTTATCAGTTAACGTTGTTGCACAGGTGATTATATAGTTTAATTTGTATTTGACATGACAGGTCATCCTAAAATGTAAACACTTTTTATTATAATTACAGATTTCTGAGCAGAAAAAAAAGAGTTATTGAATAATCGATTTTTTCTTCTCTGTTGTTCTTAGCGTCACAATGTCTTGCAATACGTGGTTACGATGATGACGCAAGTAATTTTGTAAATTTACTTAAGTTAAGAGGTGAAGATTCTTAGGAACTGCAATTGTGGCTAAAATCTGAATCATATACTTGGTGTAGCCATGGTATACAAAACGAAATTCTTGATCTTCTGAGCCATACTCTTCTTAGGAAAATAATTTCATTAGTTAAAATAGCGGGTTTTTATGCTATTATATGTGATGAGACGGCAGATATATCTCGCATATCTCCCTTGAAAGTATAAACGATATCATCAATTATTTGAAAAAGCAGTCACATCTAATTGAACTTCTTTCAGAATTAGTCAAGTTTTTAAACATTTTTGTGACCATTTCTACGACTTCCGCCACCGCTGAAGATCATTCTCTGGGCTGAGAAGGTTAAAAACATATAAAATAGAAAACGGCTGACCCATTTTTTTCAAAAATAATAAAACAAAAGGTTTGCAGAAAGTGCAACAACGACAGATGGTTACTTGTGGAGGTGTAGAAACTCCAGGTGCCGCGCCACAAAAACAATTAGACATGGAAGTTTCTACAGCCATAGCCAAATATCCATTACAAATTGTATTTTGGTAAGATTTTTTTTCAATGTTTATAAAAAATTTAATTTCTTTAAGAATGATGATGCGTGATGTTTTAAATTCAGATGACGTACTTCTGGCTATGTACGACGTTAGCCAGGCTACGGTTGCGTCGATTTTAGATTTGTACGTTGGGCACACATTACCTGACTGGTTCTATTTACATCGAGATTTATGCATTGATTGGGCTCGTGATAACCCTGCAACAATAGGTGGCCCCGGACACATCATTCAGATAGATGAAAGCTGCATCTCATCTGCAAAAAGACCGAGGAACCGAAATGCACGTCCAGTTAGGTCACTCTGGGTTTTTGGAGGCATCGATATGCAAACAAAAGATGCCTTTCTGGTGGAAGTAAATAAACGAGATGCTGCCACGCTGTTGTCATTAATACAGCGACATGTTCTGCCCGGTTGGTTTCATAAAGTTTAATATTTTTAAATCCATTTTTGTTGGTTATAAAATATGATTCAATTTTAATAATTGTAGGTAAAACAGTTTGGACGGATCAATGGGCTGCTTATAACAGTATAACAGCTGTAACCAGTCTAGCCCACCAAACCGTAAATCACTCCATTACATTCCGGGCCGTAAACGGAGAGCATACAAATGGAGTGGAGAATTTGTGGCGATGCGCCAAACAAAGATTTAAGAGAATGAATGGTACGTGCAATGCTCACTTACAATCGTACCTAGATGAATTTATGTGGCTGCGCACCATAGGAGACAGAAAAAAGCGGTTCCAAGAAGCCCTGGAACTTATACGACATTATTACGCTTTTTAAAATTTTGAAACTTTTTTGTATTTTTTTATTAACTAACGATAATTAATAGACAATACTTCTGTTTTCTTTTATATATGAAAATATAATGTGCAAATAAAATTAGAAATAGTTCTCATGTTTATAACAAATTTTAAAAATAATAAATAATGATATTAGAATTTTATTAAAAATTTCAAATATAAAAAAATGAAACGATTCGGTTAAAAAAATCACAAATTGAAAAAAATAAAGCGATTCGGTCGGTCATGAATATTAATGAAGGGCGGAGCCAAATTTAAAGTTTTCAATACTATTCTATGTAAACAACAGGAAGCGTGGTTTCATACTTGTTTACCTCATATTTCTAGATTTGTTTAGTTCTTTACTTGTCTAAACTAAAGATAGTATACTTAACGCAAACTCTAACCCTGATCCTAACCTACCCATAATTAATATCATTATAAACTTAAAATTATTTTTATTTCATGAAAACATTTAATTTGCTAAACTTTTTATTTTTCTGATGTGGCTTAAATAAATAAACGTTCACTAACTTTAGTCTAGATAGCTCAAAACATTCCAAAATTGAAACTCTCAAAAGAATAACAATAAATGCATCAGCAAACGACTTGCATGAAGTCAACAAACGTGTTTTCTGTTTGTTTAACTAACGTTTGCTAACCATGACTCTAACAACCCTTACCTTACTTACACTAACCAAAATTTCATCATAAAAAAATTTAATTTACAATAATTATTTTTTTGCAGCAGTTAATTATGCTTAGCTGGAAAAAAGTTCATTCAATGTTTAAAATAGAAATTGTGGCATAAGTTTACATGCTTAGCTGGAAAAAAGTTCATTCAATGTTAAAAATAGAAATTGTGGCATAAGTTTACATTCCGAACTACAATGTTAAAATTTGTTTACATTTATGTTTGTTTACTTGTTTACATTTATTACATTCCCCACTAATATACAGAAAGTTGATTGAGATAAAAAGAAAAAAAAGGAAAATTTTAAAAACGTTTATTTCGTATTTAAATATGTTAAAATAGTAATATATTGATTAAAATAACAATATATATATATATTAAAATTTATTAAAATCAATTTATTAAAATAGGTTCAAATTTTAATAATTTTTTCGGAAGTTTTTAGTTTTTAGACAAAAAACAGTTGTTGATTGGTTCAATTTTTGTCGTGACATTTGTCAGTTTAAATGCGTAGAGCAAATTGACCAGGTAGGTTAAAAGTCAAAGTTTGTCAACAATTTAATAAAAATTGAAATTATATTACAATGCTCAAAAAATTATTTATAAATTAACCAGATAGGTGGCCCTGGCACTATCGTAGAGATTGATGTGTCAAAAATAATGAAGGCCAAGTATCAGAGGGGGAAAAATGTGGGTGCCAATGAAGGTTGGATTTTTGGAGGAATCCAACGTGGTACAAAACTTTGTTTTGTGGAAGAAGTCGTGGCCCGGGATTCAGAAACTTTGTTGCCGTTAATACAAAAGTGGATTGCTCCTGGCACAACCATTGTGTCAGATGAGTGGCAAATTTCTGTGGCGTGAACGGTACGGCGACCAACCGTTCGGTAATATTATTAGGCACATACGCCAAAAACACAACATTTGTTAAATTTTTAAACAGTTTTATTTACTAACTTTTGCAATTTTTTTACTTGGTATAATAAAATTTTCATTTTTTTTGTGTATTTTATAGGCTATATACATACACTTTTTTTTTACTAGGCATAATAAAATTTTCCTCATTTTCTTCGTGTATTTTATAGGCTATCTATATACATACAAATAACGTTATATATATATACGTTATATACGTACAAATATTAATGACGTTTAATACGTACAAATGACGTGTAATATTCATACAAATTATAAATAAAATATATAATATAATCACAACATCTAAAACGCAAATTTAAATTATTACATTACAAAAATCTATTTTAATTTCAATGCACTTTTCGAATTTCAGTAGGAGCTTATTTTACTCTCTATTAGAGATAGTGAGTGCAAACTTGCGTTGTAGTTCGGAATGTAAACTTATGCCGAAATTGCACTCACTTCGGTGTCCGCCCAATTGAGATCTTTCGGTTTCTCATTCGGGTCCGAGTTCCTGTTTCGACCCATCAACTCGTCCAACATGGCCGACGCATACGAGACCATTGTAGGGAAAAATTTATCAGATTTTTATTCTCAGGCAATGATCAACTTTATTGAAAAGTTTGTTAGAAATACTAAAATTTCGACAAAAAAAAGCGAAAATAACTACAGAAACCAAACAACAAATCGGGAGAAGTGACAGCGATCACAAGCTAAAACAATAAAACATGGACACATAATATGCATATATATGCAATAAAAACAGCGGAACAAAGATCATCAAGCATAGAACTAACATAACTAAATAATAAATAAATAATTATTTATAAATTATAGATTGTAAATTACGTTTATATGAATATAAATATATATATATATATATATGAAATTATATATATATATATATATTTGCGCTTATAAAAACAAATTAGCATATTGTGCTAGATGGTAAGTATGATTGAATGATTAAACTTTTGCCTTTTCTTGATGATCCTACTCTTCTCCTTCTTGTTACTTCGTTAGTCTTATCTAGGATTGATTATTGTAACTCGCTCTACTATGGTCTTCCTGACTCTATACTCTATCCTTTAAGTAAAGCTTTTAACTCTGCTGCTCGTCTAGTTGCTCGTGCCCCTTTCTCATATATCTCCATATCTTGTTCTCTTGCACTGGCTACCTATAAAATATAGAATAATTTTTAAAATTTGCACGTTCATGTATAAGTCTCAATCTAAATTATTTCCTAAGCATTTATCAGCTATATTAATTGAACCAGTTTACGCTCGTCTTCTTCTTCTCGCTTTTTCTTAACTCGTGTTAAACACTCTTTTGCCAAATCTGCTTTTGCTTTTTCTGGTCCTTTTCTCTGGAACTCTCTACCTACTTCTCTGACTACTTCTCCATCACTTGCGAAGTTCAGAGCGGATCTCAAGACCCATCTGTTTTCAAAATTCATTGAGGAGAGTGTTGAACATCGCGGAAGTAGCGCTTTATAAGCTAATTGATTGATTGATTGATTGATTGATTGATTGATTGATTGATTGATTGATTGATTGATTGATTGATTGATTGATTGATTGATTGATTGATTGATTGATTGATTGATTGATTGATTGATTGATTGATTGATTGATTGATTGATTGATTGATTGATTGATTGATTGATTGATTGATTGATTGATTGATTGATTGATTGATTGATTGATTGATTGATTGATTGATTGATTGATTGATTGATTGATTGATTGATTGATTGATTGATTGATTGATTGATTGATTGATTGATTGATTGATTGATTGATTGATTGATTGATTGATTGATTAATTGATTGATTGATTGATTGATTGATTGATTGATTGATTGATTGATTGATTGATTGATTGATTGATTGATTGATTGATTGATTGATTGATTGATTGATTGATTGATTGATTGATTCTAAGTATATGGTCAGTGGCACATATAGTCAATCAATCAATTAGTTTATAAAGCGCTGTTTCCGCTATGTTCAACGGCGCTCCTCAATGAATTTTGCAAACGGATGGGTCTTGAGATCCGCTCTGAACTTTGAAAGTGATGGAGAAGTCGTCAGAGAAGGAGGTAAAGAGTTCCAGAGAAAAGGGCCAAAAAACAAAAGAAAATTTAGCAAAAATTGTTTAACACATGGATATGGCATAATAATTGTTACCTGTCTAAAAATTTTGCTTATTTCTATGGAATTAAATGCGTAAACATTAAACATTTTTTTGTAGTAATTGACATTTCATTGATTTTTTACGATCAAACATTTTACTTTAGACAAATTTTTTACTTAAATGTGAATAAATTGACAAAAAAAGCAACTGGAACGATAATCGCTAAACAACCGGCTAATAACTGATTGTTTATTTTAATTTAAATTCACTTTCTAACAAATATTTGTTAGATTGCCTTTGATGTAAAATATATATAAACAATGTATGTATATATATCGCGTCTGCCATATCCATATTATATATATCCATGGTTTAACACGAATTAAGAAGTGAGAACAAGAAAACGATCATAAACCGGCGCGTTTAGATTTAATTAATATATCCATTAATTTAGATTGAGACTTATACATAAATGTGCTAATTTTAAAAGTTATTTTATATTTTATAGGTAACCAGTGCAAGAGAACAAGATATGGAGATATATAAAAAAAAGAAAGGAGCACGAGCAACTATACGAGCAGTTGAGTTAAATTCTTTACTTGAAAGATAAAGTGTAGAATCAGGAAGACCATACTAGAGCGAGTTACAATAATCAATCTTAGATAAAACTAAGGAAGTAACAAGAAGGAGAAGAGTAGGATCGTCAAGAAAAGGCAAAAGTTTTTTATTCTACGTAGACAGAAGTAAAAACTTTTAGCAACACTATTAATTTGAGAAGGAAGAGACATGCTAGAACCAAACATAAAACCTAGACTACGAAACTTGTGAGAAACATCAAGAGTTTTAGAATCGGGTCAGGTAATAGGAGAAATAGTAATTAAGTGTTTAGATTTATTAAAACAATTTAATTCAAATTTAAAGGAATTAAGTTTAAGACACATATTCATACCAAGTGATAATTGAATAAAGACAAAATGATAGATTATGAAGAACACTATATAGGATTGGTAATAATTCCGAACTATAATTATTTATGGCATAGATTAACAAAGATTTAAATTTTTACGTTGTACAAAATAATAAACTGTTTTGTCTTTTACGATATATTAATTTAGCATATTTAGAAAATATAAATACTGAACTTATTTGAACATTAATTAGGTTAATACAAAAAATATAATATTACATTATGATATGAGAAGAAAAACGAATACAAAAAATTAATTTTTAATTTTAGTGATTAAATATAATTTATTTGGTCAAAGATTGATTGATTAATTAAACACTTTTACATTGTGTATGTAAGGATAATAAGGAATTTTATATAAGCTAATGCATATAATTAGAAATTAGCTAATGTCATGGTTTGTCTCAAATATTCAAGAAAGATTGGCGCTCGTAACATGCAACAATTACGTTAACAGATTTAAATCTAATATTGTAATGATTAGATAAAAATAAAACTGACACAATTTGTTAGGGATTAGTCAAAAAAATGACATTACTAATAATATAGTTCCTTTGTTTATATAAAAATTATAATACATTTTTTTGTCATAAATTAATAAAAAAATACAATATAGACAATACAATAATATATAATATTAATATTGCATACATTTGAATTTGATTATTTAAAAAAAGATGACGAACAATTTATTATTCATCTTACTTACTACTTTAATCTGAAAAGGAGATTAATGGAATGAGAGAAAGAGAGGAAGAGGCTATGCTATATTGTTTGTAACGTTCGAAACGATTCGCAGTTCTTTTTTCATTTTATTTATTTGCTTCGTCAAATTCGGCGCAAGTGTCAAATTTTAGCTTCGGACTCTACAATCAATGAGCAAAACTAATACGGTCTGTTGGACTTCTAAATTTCTAAATGTTCCTTTCAATTTTTCTATTTTCAGAAGTTTTATCGCTTTTTTGCGTTGATCGCGACTTCCCCTAATAAACTTCTTTTTAATAGTTTTGTAATTTTATTTGTTTGAGTAACGTGTTTCTGTTTGTGAGGAGGAAAACGTCTGCCGGATCTTCATCTGCCTTACTTACTCATTCCATTATTATATTTATATATTGTTTCTTGAATTCAATTCTGTCGTTTTAAGGTTTAATTTAACTAGGAATGGTTCATTTTAAAATTAATTTTAATTTAATTAATTCAATCTTCGTTTTTATACGTTTTTACTTTATTTTATAGTTTCCATCCATGGGTCGGATTGTTAAATTAATAATTAAACATTAAAAATCTAAATTACTCAATTAAATGTACAAGTATAAAAATTAAATAGCTAGAGAGGAGGCACATTTTAAAACTTGATGAAAAATAAAAATTTAACTGAATGTTTATTTTCTTAGGTTGGTTGGCTTTTTCGAAGACTTTTGATGGAGGTGGTAGCTTGCTGTCGCGAATACTGCCACGCACAACATTGAATCGTAAGGTTTTGCCTTATTGTTTCATTTCTGATTAATACTGATTATTTAAAAATTTCTTTTCCAGATTTAAAAAACTGAGTTCAATCGTCCTCAACCTCGACAATTAGCAGATAGAATTTAATATTATAGCAAATTATTGAATATTTTAAAAAGTATTTTGTTCGTACATCGCTAGTAAAATAGAGTTAATCAGAGATTGTGCTTATCATTCACAGGCCTCTCGCTGCTTCGGCATCAGAAAAATAATTTTCAAATTCATTGCAGTAGTTTAAAATATTAAGTTGCTAATCATGACTGTAAGAAAGCCAGAGCCGGCAGAGATCTCTTTCAGAGGTTTCAGGTTTCTTATCACTGATCGACCAACAGACATTTTCATGGATAAATACATTGATGTGAGTCAGTTATTTAGTAGTTTGTATGTTTTATTTTTCTTGTAATTAATTCTTTTTATTTTCTTTTGCAACTTTAATAAACGTTTCTAATAAACAAATGAAGCATGACTTGAAATTGAAACAGATCCTAACTGTAATGTTGGCACTATGTAATATTTTTTCAAAAAGTTTTTCAAAAAAATTCATTATCACCACTGTCAACATTATTCATTCATATAGTATGGCTAGAATGAAATATTTGAAGCATGCTTACTGAATGCTAAATATTCATGAATTACATTTCTATCATTCTTTGCATTCATTCATTCATTCATTCATTCATAGAGTGTGAATTGCTAATTATAATTTATTATTGAAGAGTTTGGTAGTTGTTGAACTAGGAAGATTTCAAAGTTTAAAATTAATTGTGCTAGTTGTGTGTGTTAGAAGACATGGTTGGCATTTAAATCAGGATCTTATTTGCATAGATAAAGATTGCTGAACAATTGCAATTGAATGTATTTTGTATTAACATTTATTTAAAAAAATAGAGTTGTTTAAAAGTATAAAGAAATAGATATATAATCAAAAATCCAGAGAATCCCTGTCCACACACTGACCTATTTTTTAACATTTCCCCATCTACACAAGTGAACAATGTCATGGCTTAAATGAGATTCTTCATTTTGTATTATATTCTTGATGCATTCATTTTTATTCAATGAAAAATTATGTTCATTCTGTTGTGCTGTTATGTGTTTAATCATGTTCTGGTGTTGTTACATTTTTTAAGGACACCTTTTAACTGGTTAAAACTTGTTAGAACCGGTCAATAAGTTGCTCAGAGATACATATTGTGTTTGTATATTATATATATTACATTGCATAAGCATATTTTGGCTGTTTTGTATTTTGATATTTTCTAACTTACTGATTGAAATTAATTCTTTAGTCCACTCAGTTATTTGAAAGTTGTTAAAGTTGTTACTTTGTTGTCACATGTAGTTTCTCTTAGAATAGTGTGGTTTTATTTTCTTAGTTTTCTCAGTTTATTATGCCATTATTGCTGTTGTGATATTTTTTCTGCTCACTGCCTTTTTATTTCGCTTATTTCTCCAACAAAATCTCTTGTAACTCCAGTATTAACATTTTGTTTCAAGTTTGACTTCCATATTTGCTAAAGATTTTTCAAAGGTACATACTAGTAAACGTCTTCTCCAAGTTCTTTACAAGTTCTTTAGCTTATAATTTTATGTTTAATTAGTAAACTGTTTGTTATTTATTTTTTAGATTTACTTTAAAGCATTTGAATGTAGTGTATCAAATCAAATGATCACACAGTTATGTCTTGACGTCCACGGCTACTTTCATTACATTTTTTAGCATAAACCACTGATGAATATTGATCAACATATTCACATCAACATGATGCAACTTGATATGCAGGAGCTAAAGAAGCACAATGCTACAGAGGTCATCAGAGTCTGTGATCCAACCTACGACACAACAAAACTCATCAACTCTGGCATATCTGTCACTGTTTGTTTGCTCTTTTCAATACCTTCTCATATTTTTTTTTATTTTTGCTAATTTGTGCACAGTTTATTAAATTTATTATTACTAATACTTTTTCCTGGCCATCAGCTATTTTCCTGGCCATCAGCTATTGAGCTATTTTATTTATTTTCTGTGCAAATGGGCAGTTTTTGAGGTTGCTGATGCAGAGGGAAAAGAGAGTAAAATGGATTTTCTGGTGCTTTTTGCATCTGTTATGAAAGTCTGATACATTATAACATGTTTCGTTTAGCTTCTGCAAATATGTTTTTCTTCAAGTGCTGCCTATGTAAGTTTTATAAAAACATATTCTGAAACTTTATTTATGGTCACGTGATGACAGAAAAACTGTCTATTGTTTCTTGAAAATGGGAAAATATGAAAATCCTTAAAAGTTCAGTACCAAGAGATTTTTTTCTCCATCGTTTAATGTGTTCTTACTAAAGAAATGCTGAATGGCACTGTTCTAAGAACAGCAGACCTCAATAAATGAGGTTTAGATAATTTTAGTGGTTGTTTCTTCTTCGAATGTGAATCCATCTATGCTTCAGATTTTAGATCTAATAGTGCAAACCAAAACCTCTATGCACACGCACACACACATTTCAACCATCCCTCCAGGACCTCCCATTTGATGATGGCACTGGTCCTCCCAATGAAATAGTTGACAAATTTTTTGAGATTGTCAAGAACAAATTCAAGGATGATCCAGAGTCCTGTGTGGCCGTGCACTGCGTCGCCGGACTGGGCAGGTCAGCAGGAGTTCTTTTGCCCCTTTTCTAACCATTCAATTTATGAATTTGTATTTTTATATATTGAATTCAATTCAAGTACTTTCACTATTTTAAAAAATTCAATTTGAAAATTTAAATTTTTTTTCTTAAATTTGATTTAAAAAGTAAAATCTTTCATTCACTAAATATGACTTAAAAAGATGAATTGTTATATGTAGTGAAATATTGTTATATATCTATTGTTATATTTAATTTAGAGCGCCTGTAATGGTTGCCATTGCATTGGTTGAGTTGGGAATGAAGTATGAAGATGCTGTTGAGATGATCAGAAAGTCTGTAGCTCTTGTATCATTTCATTATTTCTTCTTTCTCTTTGGTTGTTACTCTGGTTTTGTTGCTGCTTGTTTGTCTGTTTTTATCTTTTGTTTTCATTTCAGTTGGCTCTCGATTTTGCCTGTTATGTTGTTATTTTGTGGCATTGAGTAGCTAGTTTATTATTTTTTTTGTGAAGTAACACAATCTATATGAAATGGACGAGTGAAATTTTGTATTTGTAACAATTCACAACAACTTGATATGACTAATTGTAGTAATAACAATAATAATAGTAGTAATAATAATAATAATACCAATTACCACAATCATTACATGCTAAACTTGAACAATCGATGCCCAGGAAACGTCGAGGTGCGATAAATGCCAAACAACTCTGCTTCCTCGAAAAGTACAAACCGAAGCACAAGCTAAAGAAGGGCAAGATGAACAACAAAGCCTGTTTGATCATGTGATCTGATCACATGATTTCATCACGTGACCTGCCAACGAACGATTACAGATTGTGATCCTACGGCATTTATTCATGTTCACTGATTATTGTTATTAAGATTTAACTTTTAAGTAATTTTTTGAAATATAAGTTTGATAGTATATCATATCAATGGCAAAATTGTATCATTACCATCCACGGTATTACGTTTAGTTATTATTATCGTAATCATTGTATATGACGTTACTACTAATAATAATATCTTGACTGCGCTGTACAAATTGGTTTGCCTCTACTTGCGTTACAATGGTATGCTCCTTCGCTCTTCTTTATTCACCAGTTTATATTTAGGTAGATATCTTACTTTCTTCTTTAGGTTCATGTGACTTAGTAGTTTGAAGAGTGCGTGCGTGTGTTTGTGTTCAAATACAAAGTTTGCTCTATATGTAACAACTGCGTGTGTTCTTTGATGTGACGTGCTGCTTAGGAGTTCGTTAAAATTGGTTAACATTCTCCTGTTTTAATGACAACTTGACATTTTGAATGCTTGAATTAGAGAAGAAATGTTGTAAAACCATAATGAAGATGTTCCCATGTTGACGGAGTTCTTTGAATGTTTGATAGATTTGTAGGCGCTAAATTAAATTAATTGGTCAGTTGGTTAGTTAGAATACTTGGTCAGTTTTGCTGGTTAGACGGGTTGCTATATGCGAGTCGAGATGAGGTGTGGAATAAGATGTACAGTTTTTGTTTGTGCTGTGTAGTTTATTATCTTTTATTTATTGTTACATGATTATTTCTTCATTGATTTGAATTATTCAATGATTTTGCATATGTACGTTTTTTAATTTATTCAATACACGGTTTAATGAAGTAAATTTGAAGTATATAAAGATATTTCCTTGTGTATTTGGTTAAGTCGGGGGTATGAATAAATCCATTGAATTTTTTCCATTTTGTTACTAATTTTTAATTAAGCTGTAATTTAATTTGTTGATTTTGGATTTCCATCCATCCATCTATCCATCAACCCCCTCTTTAATTCATTTTATTTGGCATGTAGTGAAAGACTTGATATTGCAAAATGGACAAATGCTCCGATGAAATGTTGATGATGATGTAGACTACCTACTTATTTGCATTCTTTATTTTTTATTAATTTATTCATTAAATTGTAGCTTTTAAATGATTCTTGTATTTAATATTTTCTCTCAAAATTGTTAATTATAAGATTTTGGTTTTAATGAATTGCACCAAGTTAATTAATTAATTTATTTATTAATATTTTATTATTAGATATGTTAATTATAATTATAGTAATGTTAATTTATCAGAATTGTATTAACATTTACCGTTGATTGCAACTTAGTTGGAGCTGATATTTGAACAAAAATTTAGCAACCGGTCTATATAATTTAAATGATGGTGTTTGTTTTTTCACGCAAGATGCTGTACCAGCTAACTTCAATTGAAATTTAAGTGCCTATATCGGTTATGTTAGGAACTCTGGATCGATTGAAAATATCGTTAGTAGGAACGTTTTCAAAAATTACTTTACGTAGGGTGAGATTTAAAACTCATCACTTTTGAGTTCATCCACCATAAAATCTGGTTCATTTAAAATATTATTTTCTGAATATCAGGATGAGTACTTTTAAGAGGTGCTGCTCAGAACAATAACAATTAACCGTAACTTCGGGAATCTAAAGTTAGAACATGTAGTAGGGAACGTTCTAGGTATTCAAAAAGTTGATAAATGTCAATGTGTCATTATCTTTGAAGCGATTCCAACGAACCGTAAAAAGCTCACTGAGTGGCGAATGTATGTAGCAATGGAAGTGCTGGTGTGACTTGCGAAACGTGTATACTGTACATTTGTGTGGTCTGAAGGATCGATAGCGTTGTTTCATTAAATATAGTAGGGATGTTGGAAAATAATTCGCAGTCTGATTCGAAGTTACTTACAGACGAAACCTTTTTACTTAGCTGTTCAATGTAACCGTTCGTCATTCATAGACGTTAATAAGAATTTAGATGTTTGTTTTTACGGCGTAGGTGTAGGTGGTCAGTCAACTAGCAGAAATTTTTGTATAGGCCGTTCGTTGATTTTCTGTTTATACCATTTCGATATATTTTTGCATTCACATGAATTTTAAGAAAGAACAATGAATGTATTTTGATCGAAAGATTATATTTCACGTAGATGATAGCTTAGTAGATACCTCAGTTTAGTGCGTGTTTGCGTGGTGGATATGCACATTGTAAAATGTTCAATTGAATGTTTAATTGATATTTAACATTTACTTACATACATTTATGTGATCATTTCTTTCGAATAAAAATATGAAAGCTCACTAATTTTTTTGTGAGTTTTTAAAATTTATCCAGAGTTTTAGCAAAAATTTGTAGAAAATTTATTTTATTGTTGTGGGAAGCAGTGGCGGATCTAGAAAGTTAACTGGAGGCTAAATTTTTAAGATTTTACTACTGTTATGAAATTTGAGGAGGGGCCAAGAAATATTAACCAAATGTTCTCTAGTGTGACTTTTTTTGCTTGTCACGTCCATTTTTGGTCGGTTTTGTACTTAAAAACCGTGTTTTCTTAACAAAAACCATAATGATAATTCTTAGCGCAATTTTTCTGCCACCACATAGGGTGCACTTAGTATTTTTTATAAATCAATCTAAACGTTGACTCGTCACAAAATAACTCGAAAGAACTTATTAATGATCATTTTTTAGTTTAAACGGACGAAATATACTTAGAATACATATACAGGCCTTCGAACGCACTCGCGCACATTATTAGTGCGCTTTAAAGTCTAGTCACATTCTCTAGTTTCCATTAACATCTAATTTTACAATTTTTATATTTTTATAGTTTATTAATAAATATTTATTCATTTTTTAAAAATTTTATTCGTTTTAATTTATTTTTTTAATTGATTCATTTCATCCATCTGCATAATATTTATGCATATTTAGTGTCATTTTTGGCTATACAACCAAGCTGATTTGAAGTCGTCCTGCTTGACAAACGAATTTTGAAAGAAAAAAAATTAATTTTAGCAGGTACAAATAAATAAAACTAAATTTTATGAGATTATTATAATATAATAATAGTTTATAATTTAAACCATATTCACTAACAAAACCGCAGGAGCACAATGTTTTGATCAAAAATCGAATTGGAAGACACTAAATCGCTTTCCATACCGTCTACATTTTTACAACGATGTTTACTCGCACTAGACTATATATGAATCAACGTATATGGAAAAACCAATTTTGCTGACTTAATAAAAACATTGGTCAGCATACATACATACACGCGGCAAAAATTGTTTATAAAATTAATCGATAGCTATGTATGTTATTAATAGTGAGAATAATTATATGTAATTGCTTTAATAGACTTTAACCATACTTTGCGAACTTTGGTTAAATGTTTTTCTAGCGCTAATTATTTATTTCATTATTAAGAATTTAAAAACGGACCATTAATTTAAATAGCTATTCGATAAAGCTTTTTTGGCTGCAAACAAACAACATGGCCGACAAAAACGAATTGAAGGTAGTGTTTTATTTCAAAATTATTCTTAAATAATGCCTAGAATCTGAAGTCGTTGTTTGTAAGAATGATTTTTGTGATGTTCTGTTATTTGATTGATTGAGTTTTGTTGTTTTCAAATGTTATTCACAAATGATTTTATTTGATATTCTGTTCCTCCTCTTCTTATCTACTGTCAATGATACTCTCATCATTCTAATTAATTTTTTAAAGTTTTTATTTATTTATTAATTAGATTTGAATTGATTTATATATTTTTTTAATTGTTGAGATTAGTGGGCTTATAATAAATAATTATCTCTTGAATATCTTTTACCAATTAATTTTAATTAATTACAAAACAGAATATGGTTCTAATGTTCCGTGTATCAGAACTTCAGTTGCTTCTGGGTCTAACAAGTCAAAGTCGATGTGGTCGCAAGACTGAACTGATGCAGAGGGCGCTGAACATGTTGGACAGGGGGGTTTCTAGCCATGTACAAAACAAAATTAAGGAATTATATCAACGTTTTGTGACTAGAGGGTCTACATCTTCCTCATCCTCTGTCTTGACCAATCACAGTAATCCTCAGATGACATCATCAGTGGGTGGTGGGGGCGGTGTGCCGGCAGTGGGAGGTGGACAAGGTAGCCATGTTGTCATTTATAAAATTTGCTTATTTTTTGTCACATCGTTTTTTTTTAGGTAATGGATAGTCTGAATATAAATAAATCATTAAGATAAACGCAGATTCAACTGGTTCAGCAGATTTGGTGGATAAAATTTTTAAATAAAGTCATCTGAGTAATCAATTTACAAAAACTTTTAATTGAAATATCTATTTTGACCAAGGTAAAAATTGTTAAAGGAAATAGTTCTTCATTTAACATTGTTTTATGTTTGAACAAATTTCTGATATTTTTATGGTTTTTCCTAAATTAAGTGTTGGTTGTTTTGTTTTCTCTGTTTGATCACCAAGCTTGAGACAATTGGACATAATTCTGTTGCTAATGATGCGTTAACCAAATACTTTCAAGTTTTTTAATTTTCAAATCATATAAATATATAATTTGTATTAATGTGTATCCTAAAATAATGTTCCTAGATCTCAAAGTCAAAAAATTTAATTCAAGGCATTCAAATTTAAGTTGAGCTTTCTAACTCTATCATATTTTTAAAATATCAATAAATAGTCCAGTAGATATTAATTTTGTTTTGGAATATTTCTCTGTTTGATGCTCTTCTAGAGTCAGTCAGCTTCTTGCTGAACCTTTCAATCATAAAAAAAAAATTTTTTGAACCTAAAAAATAAAGTTTGTATTGAAAAAGTATCTTCATCAAGAAGATATAAAATGTGCTTTTAGCAATGTTGTTATAACAGAATATGCATGTATATATATTTAATTTTAACAATTTTATATCATCATCTCAAATTATTTTAAACCCTTTTTTCTCCATTATTATTGTTATGTAATTGTTGTTGCCTGTTCATCATGATGTGACAAGTGCAAAGAACTGCTCAGGAAACATCTGAAATATAATACCACACGAATTATAAAATAATAATATATAATATAATAATAATAATATAATATAATTATAATATATTTATAAAAATGTAATATAACATAATATCGTAAACAGCAATACAGAAAACAACATCATGACATTACATACAACATCACAATTAGCACTGACAACAACACACCTGATGCAGGCCGACCAGTCAGTGCAGTACACAAAGGACTGAGTGAGTTACTCAACCAGCAGAATGGAACCCCCATGGCTGCCCCTGTGACCTACCCCGAGGTCAGGTTCAAACATCTGCCATTCTATGATGTGCTTGCCGAACTTGTCAGACCTGTCAGTCTAGGTTAGTTGTTGTTTCTTTTCATGCTGTGCGTATATATTGTCGTCTGTGTTTGTGTGTGTGCGTGTGTGTGTGTGTGCATGGGTTGTGATTTGATGAATTATTGCAATGTATTTTGCTTTGCTTAGAGGCCATTGATATTTGCATGAATAGATTTTGTTTATGCATTTGTGTTAAGATGATATGTTAGAATTTGCTGGTATGTGCATATGTTAGTTTGTGCATGGATCAATGGATTACGTTAATGAAATTATCTCTTCCTGTGAATTCTTTGAATTCTTTTATTCACCTAGGTCAAAATTTTTATGTGTAGTGAACCTTGATCGGTGATGCTTTTTATTTTTTTGACAATTGTTACCACACAAGCATCATGTCTTTTAGTTTTCAATCATTTTCCAAAGTTGAAACTCATTTGAAATGATCAGACCAAATAGTTGAAAGGTTGAATTCATTTTCTCTTGTGCACTTGCTTCAGATGTTTCAAGAGAAACAAACAGAGCACTGCCTAATGTTCTTCAATGTATATTTATTTCAGTTTTCTGCTGTGCATTCATGTATTGGATGTACACAGGATGCATGGTGCTTGGAAGTACTTCATTTAGTTAGGTTCTCTTTGAACATTCCTCCTCTCTGCCAACATTCTTACAGACTCACTTTCCAATTGGAACTGCTCGGTATCAAACTCCAGCTTCCACATTTAAATTTATTCACAATAAGAATGCACTTTATTCAGGCGTTTTCATTTGTTACAAAGTCATCGACGAACCAAAAAATGAATTTCTTATATGAATCAATTTGATAACTTTTTAGATGATTGTTAGTTTCATCCAATGACCTCAATGTTCACTTTTTGTTGGAAAGTTAACATTTTATTTTAAAAAAAACTTTTACATGTTGTGTTGTATATAATTAATGTGTCGTATTAACCTATGTTATATAGTAAAAAATATACATATGGCATTATTTAAACTTCAAAAAACTCTTTGATATTTATAAATATTTATATCTACAATAGCCTCAACCTGATAACATCTGTAAAATGTTTCTATCTCCTACCTCACACCTGGACAAATGTTTAAATGTTTGAGTGTTATAGATCTAAAATGTCAATCAATTCTTACCAACCATGTAACAAATAACTTTCAGTTCCTCGCAACTCGTCCCGACAGCAAGAGATGAAGATCAACTTCTGCTTCAGTGAGGAACACCTCAAACAAATATCAAACTCTAGGTTACTTTTTGTTTAGCTTGTTTGCTTGTAGGTTCGCTTGTTTGCCGTTTTGTTTGTCCCATTGTTTGCTCAATTGTATTTGCTGGTTCGTTTGTTCATTTACTAGTTTGTACTTCTGTGTATGTATGTTTGTTTTTATTGCTATTCTTTTTTGGTCATTATGTTGTTGTAATGAAGATGAATAGTGGTTCTATCTTCCTAACGGTTGTAACTGATGGTGTAGGTAATGATGATGATGGCATTGATTGATGATGGTAGCATTGGAGGTGGTGATGATGATGGTGGTAACCATTGTGGTCGTACTGTTGATCTTATACGATGATGATGAGGATGATGATAAGGAGGAGGAAGACGATGATGGTGGTGAAGTTAATGATTAAAACATGTTACTTATTTATAAAAACGTATCTTATCACTGTTCCTTTCCTACTTGTAATAATTGTGCTGGTTCAGTCTTCATGCTTAATTTTTATTTGCAAGGTACTGTGTGTTGTATGTGCATGACCTGCTGTCAGCATATTCAACATATTCAATTCATTGCTACTGCATTACATTCTTAGTAACTTAGAATTGAAAAATTTTTGAATCAGTTTTTTTTTCATTTAATGATTTTTCATTTTAAATAACATTTTTTCATTATTCAAAGTTTATCCCAAGTACCATCAGTTGACATTCATTAAAAAATTAACCTGATGATGATGGTGGTGATATTTTTGAAACATCAGTTTGCACTCGACCACGTCACATGACTGCAGGGACATCTCCCCGACGACGAACAAGGTGGACTTCAGGGTGCAGGTGCAGATGAGGTTCTGCGTCCTCGACGTTTCAGCCCGGCAGCCCGACTGCTTCCCAACCACCATCTGCGTCAAAGTTAATGGCGCTGTTGCTGCTTTGCCGGTCAGTTCATTTAATAAATTAAATAATTAATTAATATGATTTCAATTATTTAATTACTAGGTTGGCAGGCACCTCAGCTAACGAGATATTTCTTATATTTTGTCAATTACTTTGCAGTTATAGTGCAATAACGTAATTGTCTTTGACCATCTGTCTGGCAAAGAGAATAGAATGCTCCTTGCTCATCTCTTTTTTTTTTCATCTCTGTTCATTTGTTTGTTTTACTTTAAGTTTTCAAGAAGTTTATTTGATTCAATTTCAACATTCAAGTTGTTCTGTATCACCTCATTTTTGTTTTCAAGTTGTTCTGTATCACCTTATTTTGGTTTGATGGCTTCATCCTTGAAGTTGAAATGGCATACTTTTCCTGTTATGTTAATGAATGAGATAGCATTTCTGTAAGATTTGTTAAGCTGTCACTCTCGTATATTTTTAGTACATGCATATAAAACAAGAAACGCCACAGCAGAGCATCATCACCCTACATTGAACACCCCCACAGAATCCGATTCCAACGAACAAACCAGGAGCAGTTCCGAAACGACCGAGCAGACCCGTGGACATCACGCAGCTCTGCAGGTTCTCCACTTCCTTGTCCAACAGCATCTCAATTGCATGGACTGTTGAAGACAACAGGGTTCGTCTCTTTTCACTTCATTGCTGATCTGTTTTTTCTTCTTGTCAGTTGCCTTTGTAGTTTTTTTTTACTGCTGTTGTTGTTGTTGTTGATTTTTTGATGTTTTCATCTAGGTTCATTTTTTTGTGATATTTGCATGTAAACATTATTGTTATTATTATTATTATGTGTTCAATAATATCAGTTACATTTCATTTTGTCAAAATGTCATTAGTTCTTTTATATATAAATGCAATTGCATTTAACGAAACCACGACCAACAATGACACCTGCAGCACTACTGTGTTGTCATCTACCTGGTTAGAAAGTTGAACTCGCAAATTTTGCTGGAGAGACTTCAGAAGACCAGCATCCTCAAACCAGAACACACCAAAAAATTAAGTTTGTTTCTGTTCTTCTTCCGGTTTATGAATTTTTTATTGTCTTTGCAGTTACGATTATTATTATTATTATTATTATTCATCTTGCGCTATAATTTTAATGCTTGACATCACCACCTCAGTCATTGTCATCACGTCATTAAATTTTTCATTGTGTAACTTATTTATTCAACTTGCAAACAGTAAGTGAGAAGTTGACATTGGAGAGCGACAACGATCTGGCACTCACCAGTCTCAGAATCTCTCTCATTTGTCCTGTTAGTTTCATTTACTTTGATTCAACTTTAAAATTATTATTTCACTTTAATTTGTTACCTAGTTTTTTACTTTTGCTTCATATCACCGTCTTAATTATTAACCTTTTTTACTCCCGATAACTCTACATCACTCGTTCACTGCTTCTTGCCATCAATCATTGCGATCCAGTTGTATCTCTTCCATCTGTTAATGATATAATCAGTCTTTGAAAGCATTTGATGTTTATAATCGACTAAATTAATCAAGTTAACTGATGAAGCTAGATCTCATATAATCTATCAAACCATTTGTGTCATTCATTAGCAAACTTAATGCCAAGTCAACCAATTAATAATAACCATAAATCAATCATGAAATAATCTGCAATCAAGCATCTTTTCACCTGCCAATCAATTAACCAATCACGATTCAGCTTGGAAAGATGCGCATGTCGATACCATGTAGATCTCAGACATGTGACCACCTGCAGTGCTTCGATTCCATCACGTTCCTCCAGATGAACGAGAAGAAACCAACATGGTTCTGTCCTGTCTGTGATAGACCAGCTGAATTCAACAAACTCATTATTGATGGGTTGGTTGTCTTTTGGTTGATGTTATGGTTGTTGATAATGTTGATTGATACTGTTGACAATACTGTGTTTGTTACTTAGCTATTGTAAGGTGATTGCTAAATTTTTAATGTGATGCTTGATTTCCTAACACCGATGACTTGGCTGGAATTACTTGCAGCATTTTGTTCATCTTAGTTGTTATTTCAATGAAGTATAATGGTCATCTGGTGTCCACAAAATTTTCTTTGCTATAACAATGACTGACATCACATTCATCTTAACTTTATTGTGTAACTCTATATATGTCCACTTACACCCACAAAGCTACACACACATGCACACACACCTGTGTGTGCATGTGTGTGTGTATTTGTCTGTGTACTATAATATTTTAAAGCATGAAATGAAACATACCCGATGTAGCTTCATATCAGAAATCATACGTGACTCCAATGATTCAACTGAGATTGAACTGACAAAAGACGGTGCTTGGTCTGTCACCAGGTCAGAAGAATTGACAACTGAAGATAAACACAACAACAACAATAACAACAACAACAGTAGCAACAACTTTAGCAATTGTAACAGCACTGCGAACAACAGCAGCAGTACGGGAGATGATAACAGATGTCTCAACATGGACACGAGTAATGGTGGGTTCATGTTTTTCGTCTTCAAATATGTGTATGTATGTCCATGTGTTTCCATGTTCACGTGTTTCCATGTTCACGTGTTTTCATGTTCATGTGTTTTCATGTTCATGTGTTTAATGTTCATATATACTGATATTCATTCTCCGTTACTGTATTTAATTCTATTTTTTACATTGTTCGACTTTTTTCTTTGTTATTAATTTTCTTTATTCTTTATTTAAATTATTCTTTATTTGTTTATTCATTGTTATTTGTAGAGTTACCTTCGTAACTCTACAAATAAATGTATAAATTTTAGTTAATTGGGTCATTTAGCATCACAAATCAACAGTACAGTCTGTTGGTCGGAGTTACAATTTTTGGCACTCGTTCATATTTTTGGATGCCATTCACAGCACAGAGCTGCTTGTTTAATTTTGCCAGATGTCGTACATTGTTTTGATGTATTCATAAAAGTTTATCCCACTTTATATCCAAAATGGTGAATGAATTTTTGGGGAACTTTACTCTTCATTAAACACTTCCAACAAGTCTCTCTAGAACACAACAAAAACCCGCTGATAATGTAAGTTATTTTTGAGAAAAATTTCTTCCCAAGCTTCCAACTTTTAAATTTCCAGGATTGTATGATTCACACTTTTAAGAAATTTTTTTGGAAGGTGCTTTAAAATTTGAGTGCTTATATTCATGCTTAACTGGGTTTTCACTTTGTACAAGTTATTGTATGCCATTTTACTAGCTCGTCTATAGTGTTAATAAATTGGCTACTGGGATTTATATGGTAGGCAGTTTTGATTTATATGATTTTATACTACATATCATATGTTGGTTAACTTGCTGTTCATTGAGTTTTGAATGCTTTGTGTTATTATTATTAATGAATGGTATTATTTGTCTTGATTTTGTCTAGAAACAAATTTGATTTAAGGTGCAATCGAGTTTGGAATAATCCAAACTGCCAATGATTTGGTTGACTGAACATCTGTCGTTATGTATAAGGAACTTTTCTGTTTCATTGCTATTCGTATTGTCCTTACCACTACCCCATATGAACATTAAGTACTTCTGCCTTTAGAAATGACCTTGACAAGATGTCAATAGGATTTTCTAACTCTCCAATATTTTTGTTCGTGCATGGTGAACTGCAGAAAGTTTGCCCTAGCTGGGAGTTGTCAAGTTCAATAAATGCGTATGGAAGGCTGTTGGATGAGGACGTAAAAATATTGATCAAAACTTTACATTGATGAACTGAATGATCTGCATTCTTTCAATAGATCTTTTGTGAAAACATGGTTTTGACCAGCAAACCTTCATTACATTATATTTTTCCATCACAATATTCTTATTAGTTTGGCCATCATTATTTGTCACGCATGTAAGTGGTGGTTTCATATTTATTAAAATATTCTTATTGTTTAATTAGTCCCTTACATATATACACTAAATTTCTTCAGCAACAGTTGGTCGTAGAGCTTATGTTCTCATTTTAACTCTGTGCCATCCTGAAGTTTACAGATCTCGTAAATAGAATTGAGAAAATAATGTAAACTCAGTTGCAGGCAACTTAACTCACTCAGTGGGCTACATGTTATGGGGTGTAATTAAACACTCACATCATTCAATCTGGCGTGTCTCTTTTTATTCCGTACTTAATGCTTCCTGGAATCTTAAGAAAATATTTTAACTTTGTGAAATTTTTAATTAAAAGTAATTAATATATATGCTTCTCGATTTAATAAGTTTTCACTATCTTTCACAAGAATTATACAACTTTTCTATATTTAAAAACCTTAGAAGACACGTTGATTCATTCCATTAAATTGAATTACAAGCAGCTCTGAGCATTTAATTTTTAATTGGTACTCTCTGGACATTTTTTTGTGCAAACTAAGTTATTTATTTAATTTTGAAAGTGTTTCAGCATATAAATTTGTGATCAGCCTTTTTTCATATTTTAACCCTATTTGCTCATGCAGATGGTCCCACAACAATGGTGTCGTCATCATCAGATGAGGTCATTGACCTGACGGGAGATGATGATGATGATTATCGATATGAGGTCGAAGATTCTAAAGAAGGTCAGTGAAGTTGTGTCTGTTAGTTTTTTGTGTTTTATAATTGAGGAAATTTATCAGTCAATCTAATCAAACTTTTGTTTGGTGTGCACTGTTTCATTTCATGGCCTTGACTGCCTGTCTGTTGCTCATGAAATAAATATGCTCGTTAATGTTGCACCAATGAATGGTTAATTTCAGGTTTGGAATCGTTGAAGAAGGCCATGGAGGAGGAGATGAGAGTGAAGGAGCTGCTAACCTCACAATCGGCTCCCTCAAGAACACTCAAACAAACAACATTGTTGCCAATCTTGAACCAACAAAATACGTCAGCAAGCAACAGCAACATCGGCAGCGCGGCAACAACATCGGCGTCAGGCTCGTTCAAGAACAACAGACTGAATGCCAACGGAGTCGAACAAGTTCCGCAGCCAATTGCACTAACATTCAACAGTCGCGCTAGCACGCCGCCGCCGCCTCTGCCACCATCTTCACCCCCTCCATCATCGTCACACAAATCTCACAACAGCACTAGGGATAGACCTCCATTGCCCTCAGATACTCCTACTCGTCATCACCACCATCATCCACCTCCACTTCCTGCGTCACCGCCCCCACCTCCCCTCCCTCACTCACCCCCTTCCATGAGACCCACCCCTCCACTACCTCCAGCTGCCCACCAGCACCACAGATCACCATCCTATCTTCACCAGCCATTCGATCTTTCTACAACTTCAAAATCATCATCATTACCATCGACGTCGTCGTCGTCTTCGTCGTCAGCGCTACCTCCTCTACCACCGATTCCACCACCATCAATGGCGTTCCCCTTCCCAATTCTTCCTGGCTTCATCCCGTCTGCATTCCACCCCGCCAATCCCTACTTCAACGCCTACGAGGCCTGGGCGCACCTCCACTCGTCACCTGACGCGGCCACAGCAGCTGGCATGCTCGACTTCTTCTCTATGATGAACGCCGGATTTCCAGATTTTTCAGCCGGGATTCCAGATTATTCGCCAGCTGCCGCAGCGGCATTTGGAGCCATGAACCCGTTTGCTCTCGCCACACCACCGCCATCTTTTCTAGAGTATTTTTATCGTTCGGCGGCCATGGCAGCTGCTAATTCGGGCAATGGTGTGTCATCTTCAACAACGATATCCAATGATCCGTCTACGAACAGAGGCAATTCCAGTCTGCATTGAACTTCTTGTGGTCCGTTCATTTGGTTCATATGGTTGATTGATTGATAGATTGTTTAATATTTATTGTTGAACATTTTGCATTCATTGAATTGAGTGTTTCTTTATTGACGTAGGTTAATATTTTCATAGAAGGTGTTATTTTTTATAAGTAAGATAATTTAAATTTATTTATATTCGATGTTTGTTTTTATGATTCACTGGTTCATTTGTATTGTATGTGGGAGTGTTAATGTGTGTATATTGTTTATGTGGCCTGAAGTAGGAGGTTGTACGTGAGCGTGAGCACGTTGATGTGCATATATTTGTATGCTTGGAGTAAGTGGTTGCGTGCCGGTTTGTACACATTTATATGAATGAGTGAATGTATGCAGATGGTGTTGTATGTATTTTAATTTATGGTCCATGATTGTCTGAACTGTGTATAAAATTTAGACGAAATAAGATAGGAAACGTTCTAAATTGTTTTTTTATGTTCTCCTGGACTCTCCACACAATGTGCTCGTATGCAAATGCATTCAACTTCTTAATCCAGTTTGTCAAGTTAATGTGAAAAATATTGATGAATGTTTTGTGGCGAGAATCTCGCTGAAACATAGATAGAATGAATTAGGAAGCACTGGTGAGGAGTAGCTCGTTGAATCAGTTGATCTTATGTTGTTGTACTATTTTGTTTAGAGGCAATTTATTTCTGTTAGGTCATTGTTGGCTCAGAACTGTAAGATGGTGAACAATTAAACTGTTACCATCATCGTTCTTGATTTCATCATCATCATCGTCGTCATCCTCGTTATTTCATCATCATTGATGTCATTTGTACAAAGTTGTTATCTCTAATTTATTCAGCATTGGCACGTTCGTTATATTTATCTATTATTATTATTATTATTATTATTATTATTATTATTATTATTACCACTGATGCTACAACCACTATTAATTATTATTATTGTTATTATTATTGTAATTATTGGCGTTATTACTAAAAATATAGTGATAGGAATTTTAATTTCTATCACTACTGCTGCCGCCCCTACCGTTACTACTGGTGCTCGTGTCGCTAGTTCAATATCAAAGAAAAAATTTATGAACATTCTGGCCATGTCATGTGTGGTGTGTGTGTGTGTGTGTGTGTGTGTGTGTGTGTGTGTGTGTGTGTGTGTGTGTGTGTGTGTGTGTGTGTGTTCATTCATTTCATGAGAGCACTTTTGAACGTTGTTTAGTGAACTGTTCCCGCAATGATGTTTCCATTCAGTCGCTCTTTTCTCGTTCAAGTTGTAATTTTCATAAAGAACACAAAACAACCTCAAATTAATTTTATAAATAAATGTAAATAAATAGATTTCAAATGTTCTTCAAATCGTTTCTCTATAAATATCAATGAATTTCAGTTTCATTTGTATTTGTCGGTGGCTCGTTGTTAGAGACATGCTGGTTTAATTGGTAGGTGTCGGAAGGATGAACAGTTCATAAATCAAACAAATGACACATTAACCACAAAATGACAATTGAATCAGCCAAGCAACTTGCGATCAAAAGATGTGAATGACGAAATCAGCAAACAGACAGCAGCAATTAATTTTCTTCCAACATCTTCACCAAAAGAAATGGTACGGAGCCGCCGTTTTAATTTACAAATTATTTTCGTAGCCCGATCCTCGTTTAATTTAAATGCATCCTCCATTCATTTATTAGCCATTTACTCGCTTGTTAATTGGCCACTGTTTAACTTTTGATTCACCATAATTGGTTCAGAAGAGCCAAATATTTTCAAACTTAAGTGACTTTCCTCCAGATCGCCTATCATGTCAATTGGTTATCATCGGACTTTGCATCGTCAACGTAATCAACTTGAACAATCAAACCGTAGAGGAAATTATTCAGCGGGTTCAAATCGACTTAATTTTAATTAGCAACTTCATCCTCTCGTGGATTTATCGTACAAATTTTATCGAAGGAATAACTTGGAAATTTATTAAATCGAAAATATTAAAGTAACAATTGTTCATTAATTATTTCATTCATTTATTCATTCATTTAGATCTTGCGAATCCATGCGTGATTCAACATAACAACGCGATATCAAATAAACATTTGCGGTTGAATTCGTTGAATGACAAAATAATTTCACGCTAGCACATGCAGGGTATTCCATTCTTATCGTTCAGTTCAATCACCCAAGCCATTCAACTCAACATGCGTGTTTCGAATTCAAGCTTTTTTGTAAAATGGACGTCAACTTTTAACACTTACTTATCGTACACACACACACACACACACACACACACACATATATATATATATATATATATAGTTTATGTTTGTTCAGTAATTTTTATGATATGCTTGGATCCATTGGTTATGAACAAAACTGATAGAGAGAGAGAGAGAGAGAGAGATTTAATATTTCAACATTTGCAGATATTTATTTGAAAAACCGTTTATAATGAAATATGTAAATGCTATGTAATTTACAATTGTTGTATAATTATTGTATACATTTCAACAATTTATATATATATATATAATATTTGAAGAGAGATTTTAATATAATTTATCCAATAACGTTTCGCGTTTCAATGGGCATTTGTAAGCAATTAAGAAATAAAAATACTGAAATACATTATGAATTTCGTACATAAACCGTAGAACTATGACCAACTTTTCTACTTTTGTAACCTGACCACTCCCATAATATGAACCAATTTCTAATTAATACAGGCTTATATGGTCTGTTAAAAGAGTTCTGAAAATTTATACAATAGCAGGTTATGTACATATCAATCAATCAATTAATCCTCGTTTATAGTCTCCATCCGTTATGGTTCGGACTTTTTTATTCCATTCATCAGTTTCTGTCTCCAAGCCGATCTATTCATTGCGTCTGTCTCCTTGAGACCAAGTGCCTTCAAGTCCTGTATGGCCTGCGTCCAGGACTTTTTTGGGCGACATCTTGGGCGGGTGCCAGGCACCTGGTGCTCAGTAACGGAAATTATTTATTATTAAATTTAAAAAATTAAATTAAAATTATCGTTTTCGCTTCGCTTCACACGGCGAAACCATCGTCGGCGATGACGACGACATGCATCCTTCAACGTGCACAGTCCCGATCGGTTCAGGATCTCGGTTGTATGGATACGGTCCCTTAGGTCAACATGCTGCATTCATCAAATCATCTTCATGTCAATTCGGTGAAGCTGCTGTTCGAGTTTTGTTGTAATTGGCCACGTCTCTGCACCATACATCAGAACAGAACGTATAGTTATGTTGTATAGTTCTGAGCGCAGCAGTAGAGGAATGCTACGCCGCATCAGTACCGAGGCAAGGTGGCATCAGCTGTTCCAGTACAATCCAGCATATATCCCAAATACTGAAATGAAGTAACAGTTTTGATCCCGGTAATCATATCATTATCTGGGCTCCGTTGTCGCGGGCTGATGCAGGCGGGGCATACGAAATCAGTCTCTTTCCTCAGTGAGTCGGAAATTCTCGAGCATCGTTTGTGACACTACTGCTGACATTGTAGGCATTTGATCGAGTTGCTTACAACTCCAGCCCCACACCGAACATGGCCAATGACCAGAGACCACAGGCTCAGCGGTACCACTGGTACGATATGAAGAGATGACATATTTTCGGTAATGTCATATTACCATTCGATCCCCACGGAGTTGTGAACCGCAGTTGAAAACCGCTGGAATTAAATTGATGTGAATAATATATTAATAAATAACTGCGGTGTTAAACGAAATTTGAAAAATAAATGTGATATAAAATACAAAAACAAATAATTAAAAAATGAAATAATTTATAGTTTCTCAAAAGAAATGTGTTTGTTAGGGTTATTGATTGTGAGCAAACTTCAAATGAAGCAAGCAAGCAGGGTTGAACATTTAGCTCGCGCAAAGAGGTGATAAATTTGAAGGGCGTATAGACACGAAGAAAATAGAATTTATTAATAATTTAGTACGAGTTTTATAAAAATTGAAATCTGAATCATTTTTCATTATTTCTTAGAACTATTGAACGATGATTAAATGGGTGGACTTTGGCTGATCATATAAAAAGATGATCTATGATTTAATATGATCAATTTAATAAACCAATAAAGAGCAGAGAATATGTAAATTTTCTGTATTTGAAGTGTTTATTAAAATTATAGTGAAAACGTATGTGACATTACGTAACATTTCATCACATAAAACTTATGCAATGCAATGCAATATAGTTTAAAAAATAATATTCGCAAACAAAATTTATTATAGAGATGTAAAATATCTAAATGGGATTGTGCCAAAGCTTCAACCAACCCAAAT